AAAAGAAAAGAAAAAGAAACCCTCAAACCAGTTGTCTATACCTGCTGTCTCCAGTTCCCTTCCAGCCCTCTTCAATCAGGCTAAACCCCTCACTTCTTTACCAAAACCTCTTGTCAGGTTCATCATGAGTTCCACAGAGCTAAATCCAACACTCAACTTTCAGTCCTCATCTTTCTAATGTAAATGAAAAGTGCGTCATAAATGTGAGAGGTTGCTATTATTATTTAGTAACCAATAACCTTTTTAAATGGATGAATGCCTGCGGCTATTCAGACGCCTCTCCCTCTCTTCCCCTGCTCTCCTCATCCCTTTGTGAAGTTTCTCAAGAATAAGTGTGAGGCCTTCCATGTGTCCCTGCTCTGGTATCCAGGGTCTGGGAGGCTACAAGAGAGCACCTTTTTTTCTTTTCTTTTTTTTTTTTTTTTGAGATGGAGTCTTGCCCTGTCACCCAGGCTGGAGTGCAATGGTGTGATCTCGGCTCACTGCAACCTCTGCCTCCCAGTTTCAAACGATTCTCCTGCCTCAGCCTCCAGAGTAGCTGGGATTACAGGCTCGTGCCACCACACCCGGCCAATTTGCTGCATCTTTAGTAGAGACGGGGTTTCACCACATTGGCCAGGCTGGTCTCGAACTCCTCACCTTGTGATCCAACACCCTTTTCATCCTCTTTAAAGAAAAACACCAACAAAGTTATGTGTGGGACAAGGACCAAGGATTGTGGTCTGAGGCTGTGCAACCACATAGCTTCTGTATGGCTCTAATGCTTGAGGTAAAAAATGAGAATGGCCAGGGCCTTAGCTGCTGTATTGCTGTCATAAGGTGAAGTACTTTATAGTATTGTACTTCCCCACAATAAGCACACGAGGGGAAAGAGTGGAATAGGGCAGGGGGAAGAGGACAGGACACATCAGTGTACTCCAAGAATGGGACAGAGGAGAGGGGCACCCTTGTTACATACAAATGTCATGAGAGGCCGGGCGCGGTGGTTCACACCTATAATCCCAGCACTTTGGGAGGTCAAGGTGGGCAGATCACTTGAGGTCAGGAGTTGGAGACCAGCCTGGCCAGCATGGTGAAACTCTGTCTCGATTAAAAATACAAAAAATTAGCTGGACATCATGACAAGCGCCTGTAATCTCAGCTACTTGGGAGGCTGAGGCCGGAGAATCGCTGGAACCCGGGAGGCAGAGGTTGCAGTGAGCCAAGATCGCGCCACTGCACTCCAGCCTGGGTGAAAGAGTGAGACTCCGTCTTAAAAAAATAAAAATAAATAAATAAATATCAGGGAAAACTTTGAAAATGTATGGAATAAATATATGCAACTCTAGGGCCTCATGTTAATTTCAAAGAGAATATTTGACAGAATGAAGGTCATTCCCAACCACCAATCTTTTCTTGAATTCATCAGTTTTCACCATCTTCCAGTCTGGAGAGACATCTGCTCCAGGTCTGAGCCCCTAGAGCTCCCTCTACTTCAGGGGCCTCATGGGAAAGCCCTCTGTGGGGAAGGGGTGGGGTAAGGGGGAAGAGACTAGAAGCCCTCACCCACCCTCTATTCCAGAAGCCTCCTCTTTGTGAATTCAAGTCAGCACTGTTCAAGTGAGCTCACAGCAATAACCACTCACACTAGCAGGTGTTATTAAAAGGAATTTAATAATTTTAATTAAAAACTCTTAACAGCGAATTCCGTCACAGGCCTTGGCATCTGGAAGCAACTCCAGGGACATGTGCCCCCTTTGGGACGTGGCTGACCCACGGTTTTGGACCCGAGGCCCACCGGTGCCGCGTGGCGAGGGGCTACCTGGAAGTTACTTCAATACGATATCAAAGATCCGCGAAGATTTTTTTAAAAAAAGTTTTAAATATATTAGACTCTCTTGATTGCCATTTTTACACAAAGCTGCTGATACAGTATACAGAGTTTTAACTTTTTTTTTCACATAAAATACATTTTTTAAAGTGTTCTCTGTACATCAGTGGCTTCTGGTCTGGTGAATTATTGCGGAGGGCTGGGGGTCTGCAGACTTTTCCTGGGTGTGCAGAGCCAGGCCCCGCACGGTGGCACTTGCAATGCCCATGAGAAGCGGGCCCTCTGGCCAACAAGAGAGTCCTGTCGGGGAGAGGGCTATAGCTTCTGGCACAGGGGGTCACTTTTGCAGAGTCATCCACTGACCATTGGACCCTTTGCTCTTATGTGCCCTGGGGCAGGGGAGACCATCCCCAAGTTACAAATAGCAAGAGTTAAATACAGTCTTTCTGGGCATCTTGAAAGGAGCACCCTTCTTGAAAGTACCCCAGTATCCTGCTCTAGAAGAGAGAGCAGGTAGGTGAGAGAGCTCAGGATGAAAAGGTATCTGACACCAACAACCACAATGGTCTCATGTTATTACAAAGCCAGCAAACCGGTGGGGCAGGACAGGGGACACACCCTTGTTAACTTTTCTAAGCCCCTTGGAAATGGATCAAACGGTGCAGAGCAGTTTTACTTATGCTGCATATTTGATGGAGAATTCTATCCTGAAGTCTTCAGTAGCTCTGGGCCTAGAGTTTATTCGGCTTCCCTAAGCTACTCGCCAGAAACCCACAGTCTGGTGATAGCCGCCAACTTTCAGTTGTTTGGGGCATATGATGGTGAGTCATGCAGCACCTGCTTTGGAAGTGGTCTCCTTTAATCTAATGAGGAGCTGCCACAGGACCTGGGTCTCAGCAGGAGCTAGGCATCTGGCTGACTTTGCCTGGTTTCTCCCAGCTCCCGAATCCACCCCTGCCATGGAGGGAGGCAGATTCCCGGGGAAAGGCTTTGATGCTGAAGGAAGCAGCAACTTTTCCTCCCATTATCCATTAGTGGGGTGAGGGGACTATGTAATAAATGAGCCACCATGAGCAAGAAACAATGACTTTAAAAACCTGAGATGCATTTGGCAGCAAATTGCAGAACAGTCTTCTAGACACTGATCTCAAGCTGATATTATAGAGTCCCCCAAAGATGCTGGCTGAAGGCAGCTATCACTGAAAGTTCCAGATGGAGCTGGATGATGTCTGCCTGGAACCCGAGACCCAGCATCTATAACTGCTGGCAAATGTTATCCAGGGGTGGCCATAACAGCTGTTCCCGGCTAAAGGAATTCAGACTCTAAGGATTCTGGGAGCTGAAAAGCAAA